TCAAAACTCATTTCAGTTTATATCAACAAGTGTTCAAACCAGTATTATAGATATGTTGCGAATGAACCTGGTATATTTGCAGTGCTTACGCACTGGGTTCTGGTTTTACGAACAGGATATTTACTTTCAACATGGTTTCTACCTCATGCCCGTCTTCATCAAAAGCTAGAGCTGCAAAATCTGTCCTTTAGCACGCATGCTTGCGTTACAGTTCTTCATTCGCTTGCAAGAGACAGACTTCAATAATGCTGCTCGGTAAGAGATAAGGGGGTCAAGTTTGAATATCAATTGTTGTCTGCTTATATTTCAACATTGAGTTGAAAAACAGCCTTGGCTGATACTCCGCCTATTCACCATATACTGGAAGTTTTTTCTTTGTTTTTGTTATTGTTCCTGTATACTGTTTTATTTTATTTTTGTCTATTCCATTTGTATTTTTATGGTGAATAAAGACGTATTATTATTATTTCCAACACCAGTGATAGGAGCTGGTGGTTGTTTTAAGAAGAATGCTAACTTATAAGTACTGCGGATAGTGTTATATAATTTTTTTCCAGATAAATACTTTACAATCACCATAACGTTGTCAACTTATCCTCCTCAAGTGGCATTGTACAACAGAGCAATAAAAGTTACAGTAGATGGTCCTAGAAATTCCCGATCTGTTAAATCAAGTGAGTAATAATGTTATAATCATTAAAATCGTTTTCAGATCCTCAATATAGTTATTTATTGAACTGGTCAGCATGAAAAGTTCCACAGGAAACTTCAAGCGGTATGATTTGATTAAGTGTAAAGTTCTGATTCAGTTCTGTTTCTAGTTTTTAAGAACAAAACAGAAGCAGTATAGGAAAATCCTTAAGGCGCTCTAAGAGCGGTGTCTGTACGAAAGTAGTTATTCACATCGGATTTGAATCGCTGAAGATTCAAATTCATTTGGAAAAATGTTCTTAGGAAGTTTATTCCAGTTTACTCTTAGGAAGTTTATTCCACAAATCTCCAACCTTTCTTCGATGTTCCAGACTATCAAGGTTGCAAGTGATGTTCGCGTTCGCGTCTCCAATCGGGCGTCTCTTTTCCGGATGGAATCCAGCAGCTTCAGGTTATGCTTAGTAGCGGAGCTCCATACATGAGAACAATACTCTGAAGTGGGTCTGGTTTGAGCTTCATAAAGCATTCAAAGTTGCTGAGGTGTATACAGTTTTCCGGTTCGGAACAGTGTTTCGCTTTTGAGAAGCGGCTTTTGCTTTAACGAAGCCGATTAGTTTGTATGGTGAGTGGTCTTTCAGGTCAGATGGTAAGAGTACGGCTCTGTCGAACTCTAAAAACGTGATTCGGTCCCCAGCAGGGCAGGCACAAAGTATGTGCTCTGCTGTTTCATCATTTTCCAAACACAGGCAACGCACACTGTCTTCCGACAGTCCGAGTCTCGGCATATGATGATTCAAATGACAGAGACCTGTAAGAAGGCCTGTTAGACATCGTAGTTCATCCCTATTGTAGTCCAACAACTGTTTGGTATCCAGCTTCGAAGGGTGAATAAACGACCTATAATGCTCGCCGTTGATAGTGATGGCCTACCTAGTGACTAGTCAATGTCGTTCTCAAAGGAATATGGACCGATGACGCCGCCAGCCCAAAATCCACACCTAATAGTTACTTTTTCTGTATGCATTGGACGGCTCTTGGATCTCATGTGGAATGGTATGGTCCCAAATTAGACAATTTTATATGTTCGCGTACCCATTCATCCAGAAATGGGCCTTATCGCTGAAGTGGACTCAAATTTATCCACCACATTGCCATTGCGAATAGTCTTCTCGGTAGAACGATTATGGCAACCGTAAAATGGACGAAGCGCGCGGTACGTTGCCAGAACAAAACACCCATTTTGATAAAACAATTTTATTATTTGCAAGTGTTGCGTCAATGCTATATCCATCCATGGTGATTTGACAAAACAGACTGAATAAATGACTACAACAAGATTGCTGTTATCAATTGTAAAAGTTCAGAAGTCCCTGTTGTTATTTCAATATAGACTTGAACATTTCGATACTTCTGGTTACAACAGCGCGGAAGTCTTTTAGCGAGTGTGTAAATTATTATAAACTAATTTTGCAACTGATCGCTACGAGGATCCTCGTTTATGTCTTCGCAAAGGAAGATTTCGTTGACCCTACTTACTCAAGCTTGTCCTTTAAGGACAGTTGTGTTCAAGCATTTGTGGTTAAGCCTAGCACCACTGATGAGACTTCCTGGTGTTGAATCATTAGTGCGTTGTGTTTGGACTCTAGTTTCCAAGTAGTTGACTTGTAGTGGAAAAACCAAAGTCCGGAGTGGTGAGCCGTGGTCGAATGGAACCTGAAGTACCAAACGTTTCGTCTGCTACTGCGGCATACATCATCGGTGTTATTGGCGTTGATTACATAGATGAAAATTGTATCTCGAAGTCTCAGCAAAGACTGACAGTCGTTGCTGAGACTTCGACTGCGTAATATAATCATACAATTATTATACATGGTTTCGTCAGACTTGCGGCACCCTAAACTCCGAAATTCAATTCAATATCGCAAAATTGAAGTTTTTTCGATATTTTTAATGCACTTACACTATAATGCATTTTTCTTCCTCTTTGCTGAATTCATAATCAATTCATTGTGTTTTGAAGAATACGGATTCATAATTGAAAACAAACAAATGTAGTTTAAAATTTATCCTTTTTTAAAATTAATTTCATCTAATCGTTACAGAACCTTCAGAAGCATCTGTAAAACATCAATTTTTCCCACATTTTCGAAAACTTGAAGAAATAGAAGAATATAATGTTGGAACCACAAGACGAAGAGATCATTTAGAAATTTCTCTCCAGAGTTCATCAGGTAAGATGAATATATTCACCACTTGAAAATGAACAAATCATTTCATCATTAGAATCAATATTAGTGTAAAATAACGCGGTGAATTGGCGGAAGTGGTAGTACGTCCGACACGCGATTGAAACGTCGGGAGTTCGATTCCTACATCTACCAGATATTTTTCGCGAGAAAATTTATCTAGTTGAAGTTGGAGCGATTTTGCAACATAACATGGCTGGATGGACTATGAATATCCATGATGTTCCCTAAGTGGTTCAAAGATTTATTAACATAGCTACTCAGAACACAAGGCCAATGACCATAGCAGTCGATGCCGGTTATACACAATAAAAAGAGTAAAGTATATCAAAAGACATGTTGGGAACGAATATACTTTAAAATATTTTGGAAAATGAAATGGGGCGTTTATTTCTTCCACAGTTTTTTCATTGTTGCTTTCCATTTCCGAAACTTTTTGGTCCATGTTTTCTTGTTTTTCCTCATTCTGAAAATAGGACCTTACTCTATTCAGTACGTGATATTTTTTCATAACTAAATTTTGAGGTATATTAAAGAAGAAGAAAGAAATACAAATCATGAAATTATGATACACCAAAAATTGATTGGCGTTCCGGGGCGACTTCAATGATTCCAGTAACGCATCTGCTTCTTCAGCTGCAGGAAAACCCGGAAAAATCTGCAGCACCACATCATCTGAAGATCTTGATCTGCCAATGTCCTCTTTTTCATAATACAAAATGTAGGGTGTCTCCAGAGGCTCCAATAAATTCAAGATATCGCCAGGACATTTAATAGTGACACGACTATCGCCAAACTTAAACCAGTCCGTTTCGTCTTTGACCTATGCATAATAATGACCAGATTCAACGCCAGAACTACAGTCAACAATGACTGCATGAAGGTTATAATAGTGGTCTGCTAGATTGAAATGTTCATCTATTTCGAACCCTCGTAAGAGTTTGGTGCTTCCAGTAGCGTAGCTACTAAGGGGCTAGGCGGGGCATTGCCGCCCGGGGCCCCCTCAAGCTCAGGGTGGCCTCGACCTTACCAGAAAATCTCAATCGAACTCAACTTTTTAAAATTTCTCCCATTTTCAAAATAAATACACGACTTTAATCATGGCAACTCAGTTACTTGATACATTAATGTCTCAATTGAATACACGAGTTACTGGTATGAGTGCAGTCTGTTAAACATTCGATTTTCTAACACCAAAATTTTTATTACATGTTGATGAAGCAACTTTATTACAAAGAAAATATTCATATATAATAGGCCCTAGCTTTTCACTTCAATTTGTTAATATTTACCACCTACTTGTACCTCAATTAACTCAAGCATGGACTGTTCACCAATTATGTAAGGAAATAATGAGTAAATATGGAGTGCTAGAAAGGTCATTCAGCAAATTAAAAATGATAAAAAATTATTTAAGAAATAGTATGGGCCAAACTCGACTCCGACATCTATCACTAATAGCAATTGAGAACTAAACCGCATCAAGTCTGGATTTAACCGAAGTTATTGATACTTTTGCGAAAACTAAAGCTAGGAAAAGATTGTGATTATAATAGCTATTTAGTCATTATTTAGTCAGTTGACAGGTACGATCTTTATATAATAATAATAATAAACCCTTGAACCTTTTCTATTTCGTTTTATTGACCAATACCTACTCCAATTATTAAAATAATTGTAATTTATGTTGTTAGTGTTTCATATTTTCATTACCTGCCCTGCAATGCATGAAAAAGAGCTGATGATAATAAAGTAGCTTAGCATTTTTAAAGTATTTGTATATTTAATGATTTTACTTCATAAAACCTCACCAGTTTTGATAGCGGGGGGGCCCCATTTTTTTATTTGCCCCAGGGCCCTAGGTTACCTAGCTACGCCACTGGGTGCTTCCGTCAAAGGTTGAGTCATGTTTGAAGATCAGTGTTATTATTTGATATGTGATATATCTACACAGTATTTCTCATTCCATTCTAATCTATTGCAGTTCTATTTGTTTTACTTTACTTTGAATATATTCCTTTCTTTAGAGTTTCATATATTTTATATTGTATCTAATAGAGGAGTTGAAGATAGATTATGGTGTTTCATATGTCTTTTCATCATAACTAATTGCAGATTCGAAAAACTACCTTTTTCATAAACTAATTAACGAGTAAATGCCAATATTTTTTCTACTCATACAGTGTTACTTTTTGTTTTTCATTTTTGGGATCATATGTGTGTATAAAACTATATCAAATTGAAAATGTATTGCAACGAAGTAGGTAGAATATTTTTTTATCAATATTTCATCAACACATGTATTATCGAATAAAAACGTTATTTTACTGATTCAAAATTGGTTTTACTGATTACGAAATATTTGGAAATATTAGAATATCGGCTCTTCTTAACATGTTACATAATTCAACCAATTACAACAGGGAGTAGTAAGTTCAAATTAAGTAAGGATAAATTTCTAAAAACCATTTTTACTCCACAGATATCTACAGCTCTACCATTTGTGAGGATTCAGAATATGAAGATAATAAATCATTTGGTTCATGTTCTCCATATCCAGATGATAATTATTCGAAACATTCCTTGCCAACAGGTAGTATAGTTATTAATTTTTAGAAAATAAAAAAGATTATTGAATTTTTGAATTCGAAGTTGAGAGACGCAAATTTTAAAAAACTCTCAACATATTTTCTATCTGGCGTTAGGTACTCATTAAGCATAAGCATCAAAACTCCACTATAGTCAACTCAAAAGGACTCTAGAAACTATTTTAAGAATATCCTCTTTATGATCGTATGTAATATGAACCTATAAATCTAGATGAAATATTCGGATTGAAATCCAATTTTTCATTAGCCCTTTACAATAATCAAAGAATATATGAAATATGTCCATTTGTCAAGAATATATTTTGAAAATACATACTTATGATTCAAACACGAGTTTTCATTCATTTCAACTTGTATAACTTTTGAATGAATTAAGCTGAAATCGCGTTAGTCTTTATTCGTTAGTCGTAATATTTGAACACTTGAATTCATAATTTTCATTCACGAGCATAGATATTATTATATTTACTTATAATATCTAAGTGCATGGTTGGTACATTTTCAGTAGTAACAAATGGAAAATATGAAGTCCTACAACTTATTATTGGTTTATGAAACCACCCTCACAGTTTTGATTTTCTTTGAATATATTTTATGTATCCAAAAAGAGAATGCTCAGGAGCTATACCTAACATCCAATCCAGAAATTTACACAGTCACCGTAAGGTCTCCATTGGGATCATCTGACCACAAATTCATTTCAGTGTTGAGTGAATTACCAATAAATGTTGGGGAACAATATAAGCTGCGCAAAGCTTGCCATTACAGATCTGAGTGGGAGGATCTTCAAGACCATTTCCGAAATTTCCCCTAACTAGATGTTTGTTTCAGCTCTAATGAACCATCCACTTGTGCTTCTGAAGTCACGTAGTTATTCTATCATCCATGGATGCTTATATTCCTTTTTCAATGAAACGAACTTCTAAACGGCAAACCTTGGTTCAACAAAAATTGTGAGCAAATTGTCACCTCCAGAAATCTCGCCTGCCGGCAGTGACGCAAAAATCCAAGTGCCGAAAACCGAACTATGTTTGTTAATGCTCGCAACAGCTGCAAACTTAGAATAAATGAAAGCAAAGAATTTCACAATCAGATTTGGCCGCGGTGATAGTGCGCCCGACTCACGATCGGAAGGCGACAGCTGATTAACGGAAAAACAGATTCTAAACAGATTTATATGTATTTTCACTAATTAAAAGAGAGTATCCAAAAAGTGAAGCAAGATAAGTGCTTCGATAAGTTTTTTTGGGGGTTAAAATGGACACCAATATGTGTTGGTCCAATCATGTCACCGGAATTGCAAAGGCTCCTTCCCAAAAGCTTGGAATACTCTTCCAGAAAACTGCACACACCTCAGCAACTTTTGATGCTTTATAAAGCTCAGATCAGACCTTATTTGGAGTATTGCTCACATGTATGGCGCACCGCCCCTAAGCATACCCTGAAGCTGCTGGATTCCACCCTGTATATATCTAACAGGAAACACTTTCTCTTTAAGACACACATCAATCATTTTTTGGATATAAATTGGCAGAAAGTTTTTTCATAAAAATTCCCGCTAATTTTCATCAATGTGATTTATATTGAAGATAAACAATGGTTTATTTTTAATAGGACCTTTGTCACAGTTTTCAGTTCTCATGCCATCATTTGTTATTTCCAGATTTACTTAAATTGTCTAGTATCATGCAACGATCTCAACAATTTCAGCCTAGCGACACTAGCCTTTTTTGTTTCAGAAATTGTATGTGTTGCGCGTTATTTGAAACGAGTTTCAACAGCTTGTTGAGTCTGAACAATATACTATCTGTCACAATTCTTACCCCTTAGAACAAATGAACATCTGAAATTGTTGAAATCCGTATATGACACTAGACTGTTGGACGCTTTCGAAAGTTGTATGGAACCAGCAAAGTGTAACATGACAAATAAATAGTGATAAGGTTCCTATTACATACAGCAGTTTTTTTTCCTTTAATATGAGCTACTCTGTTGAAAATCATTAATGTGTCTAAAAGTGAAAGTGTAACTCTTAGATATACAAACAGGCAAGATTTAGAGTTTAAAATTAGTTCATCTCAAAACAACAACTCAACTGGAGAAATGCACACCTAGAAGGGTGTAACGGTTTTGCTGTTTTGGAGCATTGATTGCTTTGAAGTTATTCTACTCCAGTGGTTCAAGTTCTAAAATTCAATAATTCATAGATATAGGCAAAGAAGATTCAAACTGTAACAAATTATCTGATATATTCGGCCGTTACTTGATGAAGATCCATAGTAATTTCATAAATTTCATAAGAATTGATCTCCACAAACTTTATTTGAGAAATATATCACGACATGTTTCGCTAACACAGTAGCTCCTTCAACAGTGATTTGAATACTACAAGTTGCTTCTTACGCTCATATTTTTATACCATAGGTAACTACAATGGATGGAGGTAGTCTCAATTGTAGTTAAGTGTTTCTCAATAATATGCTTGAGAAAGCTATAGTGAAACACGTGTTGCATTTTTTGTAAAACCCTTTATATCGAAATTCATACAATAAACTGTATTAATTAGTTTTAATATAGATTTTCATCAAGTATCGGCCAGTTCTATTCAACATTTGTCAAAATTATTTTGATATTTTTACCTTGACTTTTCCATATCATTTAGAGTTTAACCAATTCTTTCTTTTTTCTAGTTCTTCCAGATTCCAGAACGGATGAATACATTGCCACCTCTTCCCAGAGACATATTTCTACACTGAATAGTACTGTCAGAACAGATCATTTTATAACTGATATTAACTATGCAGACCATACCTACCCTACAAATTGGTATCGGAATCCCATGTATGAGTATTATTACAATCCACCCCAAAGGCAATACTTCTCGACTTATTCTCCTCCACAGTGATTATTCAATTTATTCAGCTGATATTCACAAGGAGCGTGCTAATCATTAAACCCATTTAACCGCTAAATTGGTGTACTCGGTCCCATAAGATATTAATTCGGGAGAAAAAGTAGGAAATTTGCAAAGTTGTGTTTGGAGACCCTGCTCCTGATTCGAAAAACATGTTTCCTTGTTCATGAAGTTATGTGAAGAATGCCACATGGGATGAGAAAACCAACATTCTTTAAAATACCTCACATATTTTATCTATTACCAACAAAAAACGATATTACTCCTAGAGTAGTTTTTGAGCTACATTCATTTAAATTTGTAATAAACTGAATATAGAAAACTTAATCACTGAGCTATTAATTTCTCCCATACCTGTCTGTTTATTGATAATAATTACTGACCAGTAAAAATACTAAGTACATATTTTCAATAAAAATCATTATTGTGGAAGGTGGAAATTTCAACAAAGGTCAATGAAAAATATTACATATTGTTCATCAAATTCTTTCATCGTTCATCATTAACGAATATCTGTCCGCCTGCAAATATTTTATGTAGGTATCTCGAAGTAACTATGATATGTCCTACTACTAACGTTTTTCAATGGCAAAACTAGTTACCATCAGTGTATCTCTGTCCTCTATTTCTTAATACATTATGAGGATAGAACTATACTGACTGCACTAGTTATACCAATAGAATGCTTCAAAAACTGAATGAAATTCAAGTGTTTCATTGTTGATATGTTTTTGTTGAAACAGACATGGATATTTCGACATTCAAAAAAATGTTTCTAACAATTCTGATTTTGAAATAGTTCATTAATTTAGCCAAGTGAGTTTATGAATGATTTCATGACTGAATGTGCAATAGATATATCTGAATAAATTTAAGGTGACTTCATTCGGACAAGTATAATGCACATTCAGTGAAATATATTTGATTGCCATTGGTCGACTATGAACACACATTAATCACTGAAAAAACTTTACTTTATTGGCCTCGATCTGGAGTAATGTAGGGGCTCATCTTCGAGGCTATAATCTCCAGAACGAAATTTTGCAATTCAACGTCGAACAGTGTGTTCATTAACACTATCATTGCCAAATGCCTGGTTTTATGTATCGGGTTGATTTGGCAGTGCTTTGCTTCAATTTGAATTTGTAGAGAAAAAGTGGCCGAAAATCGCTTAAAGACATCATATAGGTTAGGTTAGGTCCAAAGTGAGTGGGTCTATTCGACCCTCCACCGCAACTCGCAAGGGTTTATTGTGGCTCACACCTATTCACACTCGATCAAATGGACCCAGCTTCTTAACGAAGCCGATTAGTTTGTAAGGTGTGTGGTCTTTCAGGTCAGATGGTAAGAGTATGGCTCTGCCGAACTCTAAAACCTGATTAGGTCCCCAGCGGGGCAGGCACAAAGTATGTGCTCTGCTGTTTCATCATTTTCAAAACAGAGGCGACACACACTGTCTTCCGACAGTCCGAGTCTCTGCATATGACGATTCAAATGACAGTGACCTGTGAAAAGGCCTGTTAGACATTGTAGTTCATCCCTAATGTAGTCCAACAACTGTTTGATATCAAGCTTCGAAGGGTGAATAAACGCCTTGGAGTGAACCAATCCTGGAATATTCTGCCAGAAGACCATGAATCTTCTTGTCTTCCAGGTGTTCAATCTTTGTTTGGCAAAGCCTACAGTGATGCCAATGACAGGTTTTGGTCCGATGAAGCTGCTTGCAGCACCCTCCTTTGCAAGGGAGTCGGTAGCCGCATTGCCTTCCAGGCCGGTTTGGTCAGGAATCCAAACCAGAGAAAATCTGTTAAGTCTTCCTATAGAGGAGAGTCGTTTTTGCTACCAATTTAGACGTTGGTCGGTAGGAGCCAAGAGCTTCCAACGCCATTTGACTGCCTCGAGAATATTTTTATTGATTTGTGTATGAGGTTGGATTCATCCCATCTCTCCGCACACAATTCAACAGCGTAAATTTCCGCTTGAAATACAGTCGCATAGGATCCTAGGCAGGTTGATATCTTTGTCCTGGGTCTGTCACTGAAAAAACTTACACCATCTGAGAACCTACAACTATCTGCTCTTAATATATCCTTCTCCCGGAGGATCCAGTCCTCTCTACTCGGGAACAGTACTTTATAAGGCAGTTCGTAGTTAACAGTTGGGAGCATAAAGTCAGAGGTCATTTCCAGAATGCTGTGACTTCCAGTTTCAACCAACAGTGCAAGTCTATATGCAGTTCATCTAGCCTCTCTCTACATATTCAAGATATTGATTGGAAAAATCTCTGTCGATCAGTATGTTCCATGACACAGTAGAATAAATATTTATTGAGATATGGAGCAACAAAAACACATGACATTAAATCGGAAAAAACTTTTGAAACAACCTAATAAAAATATTAAATAAATGTGTTGAAGAACTTTAAGCATTTTCAGGCGTCACATGTATATTGGGTTTTAGAACTAAACTTCAATAATTATGGTGCATGACAAAAATATTCAGACTGAGTTTGGCAAGGCTTGACTTTGCCAATATACTTAAAATATTGTCGTCAATATCTAAATTCTTTATACTATTTCTTGATGAGAAATTCTGGTTGGAGCTTACTTGGAGCCTGCTTGGTTGAAATAAGTGATCAGTTCCACTAATCAATTGAATCCCACATTCTTTCTCTGTTTTAGAGAAATAGCAGAAATCTGTACTTTATGAAACAAACATCTGATAAAAAAATCATATAGCTAATTGTATGGTATGATAAAATGCTGCACAATATTTTCAATAGTGTAAGTAAAACTGCTTAGATATTTTCAATTTTAAATAATTTAATAAGCAGTGTTCAACAATAAATAATACTATTAAACTTATACATATTCAAAAACACATTTCAACTGCTAATTAATTAAAATGTTTTTGACACTTTAGTAAATAACGCAAACATACACTTCAATGACTATAGAAAATATATTGTTCAATTCATTCAATAAGGAATGTTGAACTATCAAACAACAGCAGAAATTTTCCTCAGGATTCTGATATATTCACCAATTTTCATAATTCAGTTTTCACGATCATTACCGGCAAATTCGCAGCTGCGTTGAATTTTTACACTTGGATATTTTTCTCTCCATATTGAAACCTAAGAAAATATATGAAATATAACTTATGCAACAGACAAATTCAAATCAACTAACCTCCTCTTGCCGAATCATATCACAATAACTTATATCGAGCAGTCTAAGTTTGGGAAGCAACCTCAATGCTTTACCACAAAGATCTCCAGATATGGTTTTTATGCCCATTAAATCTAACTGTCTGAGCTGTATACAAGACGAGATGATTGGCATTAAAAGTTGATCGTTCAAGCACCTCCACTCTGATAAAATCAGTCTAAAAATAAAAAAATTGTAAATGTTATTGAAAAGTTAACTAGTTTAGTGATAATTTTTCTGAAGAGAGGGTGGTTAGACAACAATATCAATTTAAAGAAAAAAACCATTTGATTTTGTGTTATGGTTGTTTCGAAAATTTGGTTGTTGCAATGTTTTTTATTTATTTTTTTATATGTATCCAACTAATATGTGTGATGGTTTAGAAATAGTAATATTATTACCACAAAGAAGAATTCGACCCAATTAGGAAAAATTATGAAAATTTGGCAGCAAGGGAATGACATTGAGTACAATTCAGATAAAACAGTTCCATATTCCGAACATTTCAGATTATAACGGAATTATAATCCTACATTTCAATAAAGATTTTTATTCTACATGAAATTCTAGATCTATTTCATATTATACACTTTTTACCTATCTTGCATAGTTCCTGAAATATGTTTTTCATATATATTTTCCGTAATGGGACTTCTAAAAAAGTTTTATGCTAAACGGTTATTAATCCAAATTTATCATTTATAGGGTATCCACAAAAAAATTCGAATAACGATATTCAAAAATTGGCCATGTCAGTTTTTTTCAATAGAATTCATATATTTTTATTATATTATCACAATCAATCAACATTCGATTATTAATTATTTGAAATGCATAATTTTCATATAAATAAATGTTTTAACATTTCAATTCAGTACACATCAAGAAATTTGCTCAATTAAACATATGGTCGTAATTAAAATTTCACAAATGTAGTTTTTCTTAATATGATCATTCTAGAGAATTCACATTATTGGGGTGACAGCTATTCATACGCCATGCAATTGAACATTCCAGTGAAGGTTTTCCTTTCTTTGATGTTCCCATCAAATTTAAATAATTCACTTTTTGGTAGCTCGATCTGAGATTCGATATTTGAATTAATATTCCGTGTAGTATTAACAAAAAGCTTGTCATGAATAGATTTAGTACAGTAACAATTTTGATAAAAACACTTTGAAAGAAGTTCAAATTAATCATTATATATAAGCTAGGNAAAACATAAAAAACGTGAGCAAAAAAACTATCAGAATGGTAAACTGATTGATGATAGATTAAAGCTTGTCGCCCACTTGCCCGGCACAGCACGGCCCGTCCCGTCAAAATACGTATAAGATTGGAACAATGAAAATGAATGGACAACCGCCCACTAGCCCGGCACGTCACAGCCAAGGATTCCAGGTCTCCGATCCTAACCGGCAAATACGGTACGTGCTGTGACGGGCTGGCCAAGTGACTGCGGGGCTGGCCAAGTGACTGCGTGGCCGGCCAGCGCTTGCCAGCATCAACTTGTTCAAACGTGCCTGGGAAGTTTCTGTCTCTCTGTTTTGCTATTCCATCAGTTGACAGCACAGTGTCAGACGGACGAGGAAAAATTGAGTTGCTTGTTAAGGCAGGCTCTAGAATATCCAGAAGTTCTGAAAATTTGCCTGGAGTAGGAAATACTGGAAAAATTTCTCCTCGTCTTCTTTCAGGTCGTCGTATAAAACTCTCCTAGATTTGCCCTCTTTCAAATAATGAGCTGGATCCACATCCTTCTTTTTTGTGACTATGTTTTCCTACATTCAATAATGCGGCCACTATAATGACGACTTCTTCGTCAGAACTGCTAGTGATAGACATGTTTCTGTCACCGCTCGATTTCAACTGAAATTCCCTTGAAATCAAACAAACAGCACCTTCAGTATGCTGGTTGTAGCTGGACAAGTGGGCGATGGCGACGGGTTACTACTACCCGTACGTGCTGTGCCGGACAAGTGGGCGACATGCTTAAGTTGAACTAATTTGAATGATCGGAATAATGGTATTGAAATTTATTTGTGAAATTAACAAGACAATCAAAATTGTACTCGAATATTTGCAGAAAATGCTGAAATAAACAGTCCTGTATCCAAACAAAATCGTAAGATGGTTTGAGGTTTTTGTCCTTTTTTTTATTTGTAACCACAGAATATTGAATACTGATAAATGAATACGAATCAAATCAAACTATTTGTAGATCAACTTAATAAATTTATTCATGATTTTCAAACTAAAATATGAGTAAACGAGCGAGTAATTGAATTACGAGAAAACTACCGTTTTGTGTTATCTGAAAGCAACTATACTAATCAAATTAAAACAGCGTTCAAACTCAAATCACGGTTATCCATTTGAAGGAACAAAATTATGATAAGTATTAATGTACGTGGACTGTATTTCCTGTGACATGAATTGGAATGATGTCCTTTTGCATGATAAATAGAGAGAGCAAATAGTTTAAACTGAATCAAACTGTGCCTTCCTCAAGAATTTCAGACTCGTTTTCTTCTCTCACACTCCCGAGTTTTTGACGGAATATCGTGAAGGAAGGGGGGGAGAGAGGAGCATATAGTCACAAATAGAGAAATAGAGGCAAACACAAACACATACCGCTGTCTGAATATTGAAGGTGAATACAAAATGAAATACTTTCAGAAAACACCAGAGTAATGAAAAGTACCTAATAAATATGATGAATTGAAATTAATATCAAAAGACATGTAAAAACTGAACACACTGTATTACCAATTTTCATATCCATAAGATATAATATTGCAATGAATATTAACACCTCAACTGACACCTAAACAGTACCAACTGTAACTTTCATTTTTCGTTTCATGTTTTTCACGTTCGCATGCTCCATTTCCAAACCAATGGTGCATACGTTCATTTGTACGCCAACAATTCATATTCTGAAAATAATGTAGTCTATTGGCCAGCTTTACATCTCAACAACCCGTAAAATACTTCATGCTGCAGTTGAAGTGTTAGTGTCAACATGTAGAGAAATGTTAATTGATGTGTGTATGTTTTCAGTAATTTTAATTAAGAATTTACCTTTTTAAATTAGGGCATCCTTTAGCTATTAAAAGTAAACAATTTCCTGGATGGTTATTGATCAAACACCATCCCAAATCTAGCTCTTTCAATTTTGAACACTTGGCAAAATATCGAATACCATCTTCAGTTAAAGAAACTGCCTTCCATGATCTCCAAGTAACTAGCTCTTTATTGTATTGAGATACGGTGAGTATTATTGCATCAAGATTTTCGAAACTCTCACACAAATCTAGAAAAAATCTTAGTGTAATCCAACTTTTCACACAAATTTATAAGAAAGAAACTCTGTAACTAGTGCAATCAATTAACAAAAAATAATTAATGTAATTTTTTATGAGGGCAGCTTTATTTATCTCACAGCAGTAATACTGCCACTTTTTCATTGCATTTTTATATGTTCTGACTTATGTACCTATGAAAGTATATCAATATCCTTATCTTGACTTGTGGATTATATTAAAAATATGAAAATATATCCCTTTCACTTCGAATAAAGAAGTATCTTTCAATATATGAAATTTAGAACGGTTAACGCAGTCAAGCTGCTGGAAAATAATTCCATGAAAATCAAAAAATAAATAGATAAGTACTCTTTATCATTCCCATATTGATTTCAATTTAAGAGCCACCGGTATACAGCTGTTTCAGCCTATTGGGCATCGTCAGTACCGGGCAGGCGGTCCTCGATTGAAGACAAAATGAGAAAAAACCAAGAAAGTACTTGATAAAAATAGCTGCGTAAACGCAAGCGAAACATAAGTGGAACCACCTATT